TTTGGGTCTCGACTTGTTGTGGATTGAGTCCGTTGTTGTGAAGGGTTTCCACGACGTCCTGGACGCAACAAGTGGGACATTTGATTTGGTTGGTGTCGGTTCAGTTTTGGAAAAACTTCACCGAGGTGGAGAATTGTGAACGTGGGAGGGCCCACTAACATCACAATCACGCAGAGCAGCAAAGTTCACCATAGTGTGAACACGGAAGTTCACACGGATAATTTCACGGCCCACCCGATTGTCCGCTGTGCTATATATATTCCTTAGGTTTTCTTTTGGGAAGTGCAAAAATGAGGTTTTGTTTTCTTTTTGTGGCTGCGGAATAGAGGCGCAGAGCGAGGAGTTTCCGCTGCAGGGAATTGTTTTGCGGCTACGGAGAAAAGGATTTGGCTGCGGGAAGGAACAGAGTCGGTTTTGTTTCTTCATTGGCAGCGCACAAGTACAGAGGAGATTTTGTGTAATCCTTTTTAGGGTTTTGTGCATCCTTTTGTAGAGAGATATTGTGAGGAATTTGAGAGTTTGTGTGAGAGTTTAATTGAGTGATTGTAAACCCTACTTGTATCTCTCCCTCTAGTAGTAGATCTCCCCCTCCTTGCCCCGTGGACGTAGGCAATTTACCGAACCACGTAAAATTTGTGTTCTTGCCGTGATTTGTAATAGCTTGTAGGTTCCCTCGACGCGCAGTCCTAGAGCTGACGAGAGGAAGAGCTGATATCTCACTTTGATGAGATATCTGGCTTTCGGTTCTTGTTTCCTTTGAGAAACAAGAATTTCGTTGTGATCTAATCTCTTGTTGTGCACCTTGCGCACCGGAGGTGCTGCCGAAATTTTCGCTGCGCACAACAGGAACACGTTTGCTGACTTATGAATTTGATTTCATAATATTTTAATTATAACAATTTATATTTTGTATGCATAGTATTCCAAAGTATTTCAGGAATATGAAGTGATGTAGCTTTAGTATGAATTTGATTACATCCTTGAAACAATGATTATTCTCGCATTTGAATGCAGACTTACCATTGTTGTGCGCAGCGGAAATTTCGACAACACCTCTGGTGCTCGACAAGAGAGTAGATCTCAACTAAATCCCTGTTTCACAAAGAAAACAAGAACCGAAAATAAAATATCACAACAAAGTGGGATATCAGCTCTTCCTCTCATCAGTTCTAGGACTGACTTGTCGAGGGAACCTAAACTCTCTATTACAAATCACAATACGAACACAAACAACCAATTTTAACGTGGTTCGGCAAGTTGCCTACGTCCACGGGGCAAGGAGGGGGGATCTACTATTAGAGAGAAAAAGAATACAAATGAGTTTACAATCACACAACTCTCACAAATTAAACCCTCAAATAGGCTCCTTGCTTTTCTTCTCAAAAATATCAGCATCCAAAAACTTTTCTTTCTGCCAATTTCCCCCTTTACAGCCGCCAAAGTCTGCTTCTCCCCTTTTGCACACCTCTTCACGAAGCCATAGGGTGGGTATTTATATCCGCTGGTTCTTAGCCTCCCACACAGTTACATCCGTTGGTTCTTAGCCTCCCACACGGTTACATCCGCTGGGTCTTAGCCTCCCACGCTGTTAAATCCGCTGGATCTTAGCCTACCATACGCAAATTCAAGACCCGCTGGTTGCTTCTATCTCTTCACGCAGAACCTTAGAGAACCCGTTGAATCTTAGCCTCCACTTGCTTTATCTCCTCACGCACCACTCTAAAACCCGCTGGACTCCTCACTTGCTTTATCCAACAACCATTGGCTTCAAAGTTCCCAAATCCCAACCAAAATAAAATAAGCATGATTACTTGGATTAGGATCTTTGGAGAAATTCGTTGTATTATCTCCTATGTGCATTAATATTGATCAGGATTTGATGAAGGAAAAATTGCATATGGATTGTGTGATTGACCCAAAAGACAATCTTACCCATGGACAAATAAATAGCAGCTCACAAGAGCTTTTTTTGCCCCCTAAGAATTAGGAACTTCAGCTCATGCGTAGACAATATTAAACAGAAATCATGTGCAAAATTCATCCTGAATGGTTTCTTGTCATGTTTTTCAGGGGGGTCCAAACATTCAATAGCAAATGAATTCCCTATCAATTGCTACAAGTGCATGATGTATACTACCAATAGTTATATGCTACTAAAACATTATAAACATTTTTAAAAGTAAATTAGATGATAAGGAGATAAAGGTGTTCTAAATCATGTTAAAAGATTTATAGCATAATCTGCTAGGTACATTCTTTTAGACTAATCTCAACGTCCCATAACAGTTTCAATGGTTATCCTCTTTGAAGCATTTCATCTTCGTATAAGTTAAAAGAGTTTACAAATACAGCTCTTTCAACACTCACATTCTGTCACAGTTGCTCAACCGTACATATCATAATCCTCTTATTTTGGAAAAGTACATAACCAAAAGAATCCACTTGTTATGTTCACCTTATGTTCACCCATTTCATTCTACATATTATTTGGCTATCTCATCAACTTTCCTGCACTAAATAAACCTTCCCTTCTCTCCCACAAAAGACTTTGTACTTTATTGCTCTATCAACGATAGTCATAAATGTTGCATCTCAAATCTTTTGGTGGATAGTGACCAACTCATATTTCCGTGCTCCTTCTCTGTCGAAGACTACCTCCGTTAGATTAGCAATCACCTTACATGTTTCAATGCTCGGTCCATTTCATCTAATCTAAACATTTCGTATTTGTAAGTTTGCTAATATTTATTCACATCCATTAGTAACCATGCATGCAATTTTACTAATCAAGCAAAGGAAAAACATAGCTATACTACAAAACACATCTAATACTTACAGAGACAAACAATAATTTCATAGCCAATCAAGTTAGGTATTCTTTGGCGGTCCTTGGTGTAGGTTAGCAGGCGAAATTTTCCTTGCTAACATACGCCCCCGCCTAGAAATATGACGAAAAAGAAGAGAAATTCTGGGAAAAAAATCTTCAGTATAGGTCTACAAGATTCAATTTCTGCTTCTCAAGCCTTGGAGGATTCAGTTTCAGCTTCAAGTTTTGATGATGATGATGTAACCTTGAGTTTTGAGACTATGGGATCAACAGGACCACATGGAGAGAAGAAGAAGAAATCGCTAAGTGATATTCTCAGATCGGATAGCTTTCTTGTTCCTCAGGTTAGTTCTCAGGGATCTGGATCTCAAATCCTTCAAGCTAGGAGTTCCTCTTGCAAAGATGTGATCGATGGAGATCAAAATAATTTGCTCAATGATTCTGGAATCTTGAAATCTGGTTCAAGTGGATCTGGTAAGATTTCTTGGGCTGATAAGGTTGATTTTGATGCTTCTTGTCAGCAAGCAGATCTGATTTCGAGTAGATCTTATAATTCACAAAAAAGTTTGCAGAAAGAGAAATCTGTTCTTGATTCTTCTACTGATGCTTTAAATTCGAATGAGATTAATGCTTCTGCTGCAAAGGCTATGAATTTGAATTCAGTTCTTGAATCTGTTTCCTTAGATCTTGATAAGAATAGTGTTGAAAATATAATCAAGTCCCCACTGGAACCTGCTGAGCCAGTTCAGAACAGAACAGATAAGAAATCTTGGTCTAGCCTTTTTGCAGACAATAGGAAATCAGGTTGTGGCATGACCTTGAACTTTAAAACACCTGAGAATAAAGAGTTTGTGGCTTTTAGTGAAGAGGAATGGAATGAAGGTAATTCCAATTGGAAATTTTCTTTAATTGGCCAAGTTTTAGGCTTAAATGTTAAGTTTAAGGCCATGGAAATTTATGTTCAAAAAGTCTGGGATCATTGGGCAGTACCTGAAGTGTGTCTGCTCAAACCAGGATTATTTTTGTTTAAATTCAAGAGTAAAGAGGAAATGGAGGATATCTTGGTGAATGGTCCATGGTTCTTTGGTTCTAGGCCCCTCCTATTGAAAGTATGGTCAAATGATGAAGATATAGAAAAGATAAATGACAATGTTTACCCTCTGTGGATTCAGCTGCCAGGTCTGAGATTAAACTTGTGGAGCTCTAATGCTATAAGTAAGATAGCTAGTCATATTGGGAGGCCAATTGCCACTGATAAGCTAACTGCTAACAAGCAAAGATTAGCTTATGCTAGGGTGTTAGTTGAAGTTCATATGCCTTCACCTCTCCCTGATATAATTCCTATTCATGGTCCAAATGGGAAAATTTTTGATCAAAAGGTGATTTATGAACTTAAGCCTAAATGGTGCAATAGTTGCAAACTTGTGGGGCATGATACAGTTTTCTGCAAGAGATACCCCTTATCTAAAAGATGGGTGCAAAAATCAAAACCTGTTAATCAAGCTGTACCTGATAATCTGGGGAATAAATCTGCCTTGAATGAAATACATGTCTCTGGTGGAGTCAATACTGTGCAGGAGCAAAGTTTATCTTCAGGTGGAGGCCATATTGTTGCTGATCATGGAAATATGGGATTTCAAACTGTCTTGAATAGAAAGCATGTTCCTGGAGCAGTTAATGGTGTGCAAATTCAAAATCTATCTCCAGGTGCAGATCACATTGACTCTGTGCATGTTGCACAAGTGCTTGAACAGGTTTCTGGGGCTTCAGTTGAGAGAATACATTCTGGATTGTCAGGCATAGTTCAGAATAGTATGAGGCCCAATAATTTGGATTCTGTGCATGTTCTTGATCAATTTTCTGGAATAACACCTAGAGAGAATAATGCACAGGATCTGGTGCAGGCTGTGCATGTACAAAGTCAGAGACAAAGGTCTTGGAATTCAGTCAAAAGTTCCCAGGTAAATAGAAGTTGGGCAGATATGCATAAATCTGGAATCAAGATAGGTAACACTTTTGATCATCTAAACTACCTGGAGGATAACCCCCAAAATGTGAATGGAGGGGGTGTTCTAAAATTATGAATCTCTCCTTTTGGAATATTAGAGGACTAAACAAGTCCTCTAAGCAACATTTGGTAAAGCTTCACATTCAACAGCATCATATCTCTTTCATGGCTATTATTGAAACAAAAGTTAAGGCTAGCAAAATCCCAAATATAACAAAGAAGATTCAAGGTAACTGGGAGTGGTTTTCAAATGCAGATAACTCTAGCAAAGCCAGAATTATGATCCTATGGGATCCTAATATTTTGGAAGTTTATATTGACAAGTTTTCTGCTCAGCATATTACCTGTTCTGTTAAATCCTTAGATGGTAGAGTTGAATGTTTAGTTTCTTCTATATATGGTCATAATCATCAAGCAACTAGGAAAGCTCTTTGGCAAGACCTTCTTCAAATACAACAAACAGTTGTAAACAAGCCATGGATTCTATCTGGTGATTTCAATGCCATAACTGGGCAAGAAGATAAAATAGGAGGTGCTGCAGTTACTGAAGCTGAAACTACTGATTTCAGAGAATTTATTGACAAGTGTCATCTATCACATTTGAAGACTGAAGGCTGCCATTACACTTGGAATAACAAACAAGATTCTAATTTCAGGGTTTGGAGTAGATTGGATAGAGCTTTGGTAAATGATTCTTGGATCAATTTGCACAATTCTAGTCATGTTGAGTACCTTCTTCCTAGTTGTTCTGACCACTCCCCAGCTTTGGTTTCAATCTATGATGATCATGTGCAAGGAAAGAAGCCATTTAAATTTTACAAGATGTGGATTAAACATGACAGTTACCTGCCTATTATTTCTACTGTTTGGCAAAGCACAATTGCAGGTTGTTCTATGTTTTCTGTTACAAGTAAGTTGAAGCTATTGAAGACTGCACTGAAGGATTTAAACAAAAGAAGTTTTCACAATATCAGTGAACAGGTGATCAGGGCTAGAATAAATCTGGAGAATATACAGAAACTTTTACAGGGGGATCCCCTTAACACTGATTTGATCAAGCAGGAAAAAAGTTGTTTTTATTTCATATAACAAACTTTTGGATTGTGAGCTCTCTTTCTATCATCAGAAATCTAGGATTCAGTGGAGTGTGCAAGGAGATAGATGTACAAGCTTCTATCACTCTGCAATTAAAGCTAAAAGACATCTAAATAGAGTTATGGTGCTCTACAATGATGCTGGGTGCAGATTAACTGATGGTGATGAGATTACTCAAGAACTTATATCTTTCTACAAAAAACTCATGGGCACAACTATAAAAACAGCTAGTCCTGTTAGGGATATTATCACAAATGGTCCATGCTTGGATCAAGCTCAAGCTAGGAATCTGTCTTCTCCAGTGACCAAAGAGGAAATTAAAAATGCAGTCTTCTCCATGGGTGATGATAAAGCGCCTGGACCTGATGGCTTTAGCATGGCATTTTACAAATCAGCTTGGCACATTATTGGGGATGAGGTAACGAAGGCTATTACAGAATTCTTTAATACTGGCAAGCTTTTGGGTATGATAAATGCTACATCTATTACCTTGATTCCAAAAATAAAGTGCCCAAAGTTTTCAGCTGACTTCAGACCAATAGCCTGCTGTAACTGCCTCTATAAGATTATCTCAAAAATTCTAGCTAATATGATCAAACCTGTTATGGGATTCTTGATCAATGAGGCTCAAAGTGCTTTTGTGAGAGGAAGGCAAATTTCAACCAACATCTTACTAGCCCATGAGATTGTGAAAAATTACAATAGGAAGCATATTTCACCCAGGATTATGTTGAGTATTGATATCAAGAAAGCCTTTGACACTATCAACTGGAATTTTCTAAAGGATATGCTCTTAGGTCTTGGCTTTCCTGACAAAACAGTAAACTGGATTATGGCCTGTATTACATCCCCTAAGTACTCTATTTCTTTAAATGGTACCCTACATGGCTACTTCAAGGGAGAGAGGGGTTTAAGACAAGGTGATCCTATATCACCTTATCTATTCAATCTGGGTATGGAGTATCTCTCAAGGCAGTTAAATTTGCTTAAGAATAACAAGGATTTTAAATTCCATCCTAGATGTGGTGATCTAAAAATCACTCATCTAATTTTTGCGGATGATCTTCTTCTTTTCTCTAAAGGTGATCTTCATTCAGTCAATATACTCTACAAGTGCTTCAAACATTTCAGTGATGTCTCAGACCTTGAGGCAAATCCTGGTAAATGCAAAGTTTTCTATGGTGGAATTGATGATAATCTAAAGGGACATGTATCAAATCTCTTGAATTTCCCTGAAGGTACCCTGCCCATCACTTATCTGGGTGTCCCATTGATTGGTAAACGTCTATCATATATGGATTGTTCAAACCTTTTCAACAAGATAACAGGTCAGTTCCAGGCTTGCTTGAAAAACAGGTTCCTATCTTATGCGGGCAGATTACAAATAATTAAAAGTGTTGTACTTGGTATACAAAACTTTTGGACTTCAAACTATGTTCTGCCTATGAGAGTACTTCACAAAATAGATGAATTATGTAGGAATTTTCTTTGGGGAAATTCTGAACATGTTCATAAAACTCCTCTCATTTCATGGGATAAAGCTTGCATGCATAAGAAAATTGGAGGCCTAGGCATATACTCTGCTTCTACATGGAGTACAGCTTCTGCACTGAGGCTAATCTGGAATATACATGTTAACAAGGAAAATCTGTGGATCAAGTGGATTCATGGCACGTATCTGAAAAATTGTGATGTCTGGCATGTTCAGGCTAAAAAAACTGATTCGTGGATGTGGAGACAGATCTTAAAGATCAGAGACAAGGCTCAGGGGCTTTTTGGAGGGATTGATAATCTGATTCAGACCATCTGTTATTGCTACAAAAATGCAAAAGTTAAACTTTCTGACTTATATGCTGCACTCTCCCCTACATCTAATTTGGTGCCTTGGTTTGGCACAATATGGGAGTCTTCAAACTACCCCAGACATGCTTTTATTAGCTGGTTAGCAATCCAAAACCGTTTGCTTACTCAGGACAGACTGATCAGGAGGGGGGTTGTTAGCATAAACAGCTGTGTTTTATGCTCTGGTCTGGAATGCAGAGACCATCTTTTTTTCGAATGTTCCTATTCTAGTGATATCTGGGCCAATGTTATGAATTGGTTACAGTTCAGGTGGAGATCGAGCAATTGGAATCAAGTGTTGAATTGGTTCTGTCACAGGTTGAGGGGAAGAGGGTTTAAACAAAAGCTAAAGAAATTGGCTTTTACCTCTACAATTTATAAAATTTGGAATGAGAGGAACGGCAGAACTTTCAGACAGGAATTGAAGCCAGCTGATCAAGTGTTTAAGGAGATAAAATTTAGCATCTTAGCTATTGTTCTCAATGGTCCATTTACTGCTGAAGACAGAGAATGGATTTGTTCTCTGTAGTTTTTAGAGTATGAGTGATGTATTAGTAGATTAGAATTTTTTTGTATTCTCAGTTCAAGCTGAGAATCTTGATGTGCTGATTTTTTCACATTTGGATGATGAATAAATACCTTTTCATTGACCAAAAAAAAAGTTAAGGTATTCCTAACGCAAACCTAATCACTTTTTCCCACATTTTTTCTGCCTTCACAGACAAGAACCTTCAAGCTCTCAAATTGAAGTAACCATTCGCCAGTAAATAGTAGCAAAATAAACTTCAGAAAACAATTGCAAACCCCAAAAGACTTGATTTTGCCCAAAATCATCACCTTCAGTTTTCAATTCTCTTCTTAAATCAATTCACAGCCTTCACTCCACTAAACTATCCAACTAAATTGGAAACTAATTGAATTACCAGAGAGATATCGACCAAACAGCAAGTACCTTAGCAGTGGACGCCATTTCCATCCCTCCAATGCCTGAGAATTGGAGAGAACCCTAAAAACTGATGCTCGCCGCCGTCTCGGTTCGCCGGAAAAGGACCGAAGCCCTACCGAAGACTCATCGCCATCGCCGGCTAGGGTTTGTTCGTGATCGTAACCGATGCCCAAAATTTGAGAAGTAAGGAGATGATGGCAGAGGGGTGTGGTGATGACAAGGATATAATACTCATCGTTGGCAATTAATGATTTAAGAAAGTGGGACGTAACTGAAGGTGGCTGCTAACCGACGGGGTGGAAAATGAAAGGAACGAAGGCTTTTAGGCTCCCGATTTATTAACCCTGTGAAACTATCAGAAGCTATAAATTGTAATTGTTATTATGAATTTTAATTATAGTAATGTAGAAAATATTTCAAAATTTTAAGTTATTTCAAATATTTTTTGACTTAAAAAGCTAAGATCATTGTTTGATTTACTACAAACTTGTAAATTATTTTTGTTCTAAAAATTTTTAATTGATCACTACCACTAACACTTAACAGGAACTTAATTAAAGTATGAAAGTAAATCTTGATCAAATTTGGTCCCTTATTCAACATGGAAACAATCTCAACAAGTAATAATTAGTAAGCCAAGGTTTTTTTTTTGAAAACAATGAATATTGAGGTTTGTGACAACCCCAAGCAAATTCATCACAATAGTAATTCTTTGCCAATTAGTTAAAGAGGTCACATTTATATCATAAATGATTGATCACATGCTGCGCTATCCATAGATAATAATAAAATGTAGTAAAATGGTTAAATATCAAAGTGTAATTTTATGTGATGTAAGCAATCACATAAGCATACAAAACTACTAATAACTCTGCATGAAAATGGCTTATAAAATTCCTAATTGTAATCAAAAAATAAGTTGTTATATAAAATGATTAAAAAAATATTGTTCTTGAAAATTTCTAAACCAAGATCAATCGTTCTCCACCTTTATCTTTTTTCTGGGTAACTCTAGAGTAGTATCTTCATCATCTACGTCGATTGTAATATCAGGCTGAAGTTGAATTTCTTGTGCTATTATATTTCCTTCGCCTCGTTCATCTTTTGTCTTTTCATCTAACTTCACCAGGAATTTGAATGTTTTTCCGATGTTCAAAACAATTTTTTGGAAATATGGACTCTGATTATTTTTCTGTTGCAATGAGAACAAATGTTATATTAATACTTATGGATTTGTTTATTTTCTAATTTATTACTTGAATAGAGTTAGGAATTACCTCATTCTTTTCTGTAATGAATGTTTTTGCTTTGCATCCAATAAGAGTTTCTGCTGCGTCAAAGAGTGTTACTCTTGCATTATCCGTGTCATTTTCCATGAGAATCTTAACTAAGTACCTGTATTTTTTATTGTTAATTTCTAAAGACAATTTGTATTGTATTTTAATATGTTCATGGCATTAAAAAAGATATATTACTTAACCTTGGTACTGGGTCATCAATGATTCTGTGGCATTTGTCATTCAGACACTCTTTACTAACATCTTTATTAACCTTCTTGTCACAGCCTTTGCAAGCATAGAACTATGGCTCGAGCCTATTTAAAATAGTAGTTATCTTTGCCTTAAATGTGCAATACTGTGCTTGTATATTAACAAAGTTTAGTTAGATTTAAATTTGTAGATAATAATATGTATATAATATTGTACCTGTATCGAATTCTGTGACTTATGCATAATATCACTAATATGAATTTCCTTGGTATTTTTAAAAAGCGTCAATGGAGATCCTTTTGCTTTTGCAGATTCTTCCAATTGAAACCTGCATATTAGATTAAAATATAATAATATTTCATTATTGGGTTATATGAAATTATGCTTGTTCTGCTTACCATTCTCTTAATTCGCTAGCTAGTTCTATTTTTGGATTGATACATAATGTTGAAATAATTTGCGACGATATGCTTGTATCTCCTGCAAAAATAAGAAAATTATAGGAGTAATTTTATGTTTAGTTATCTTTAATAAGAATTTTAGCAATAATTTATGTACCTTGATATATAGAGATTTTAAAATCTGATAATGCTATTACAGGCTTATATTTGATTTCTGCTTTAAGAATTGATCCTTCATTTGTAGCCAAATCTCTAAATAAAGTTGCATGCATTGGCATTCCACTACATATGAAAAAGAAAGAACGTTAATATTTTTTTCTCTTATGATATTAGAAATAAGTAACATGAATATACCTTATATCCATAAGCGTGATTTCCCTCCTAGTGTCTGGTTTGTTGTGTCTTATAATATAGTTGATCGCCGGCTTAACATTAGTTGTTATTGCAAGAATATCTGCAAGTGATTTGATAAAAAGATTATGATTTTGTAGATTAATGTCTCATTTTCTCATTCACATTGTTTGGGAAAAGATTTGATAAAGAGCTCGTATCAAATAGAAAATGAGTTTTCACATTTAGTCAACTATTCTTTCTAAACAATAATTTTGATGGTACTTAGTAAGTAATCAAACAACATGCATTTTTTTTAACAATCGTAATAAATTAGATTATATCCAAGAAAAAAATGGATTTAAAATTAAGAAGAGCTTAGAATTAGTCAACTATTCTTATATTACTTATTCTCAAAATACTATTCTTATATTAATTAAGAAGAGCTTAGAATTAGTTTAATGGAAATTAAGTAATCTTATATTACTTATTCTTATATGTTACCTTAATCAAGGGAGTTTAGAATAAATTAGTCAACTATTCTTTCTAAACAATAATTTTCTAAATATTTCCTTGCAAACAAAGTGGTTTTTATCTTGCATGTGCGCTTCAAGATTGATTATGGGATTATATGAAAAGTTTGATTTGATTCCAATTAGACAATGATATATCGCAGTACGAGAGTTCAAACGAAGTGGGCATACACTTAATATAAAGGGCAAAATATTCGCTTTGCTGATAACATAAAACTATAAACTGTAGATAACATATTGGAATACACTTAATAAACGAAGTGGGCATACACTTAATATAAAGGGCAAAGTATTTCCATTAAACTATAAGCTATCTAATTAAATAGGCTGCTATTGGAATTCAATTTAAAAGCGAATTCTCGAATTTTATAGATAACATATTCTTTGTTAATTCATATTACGTTTTTTTCTCTATATCTAATTAAATAACTGTCCTTTAGTTGACAATATTTTGCATAGTTTTTTAATAGAATATGTTCATCTGAGCAAATCTGACTTGGTCTAAATCTAAAGATTGATTATGCATCTGATATTAACAGAATAACTGCTCAAATTCATTGCCTAAGATGATACCTACTAAACGAATCACTGTCTAGTTAATCAAATAAAATATATAATCAAATAAAATATATAATCAAATAAAATATATAATCAAATAAATTTAAATTAAAATAATATCAAATTACATGAAGATTTACCTTGATAGATGGGAGAACCTGCAACAATCAAATCCTTAATCTTTTAAATTTTGCATGAAAATTAAAGAAAATTTAAAAAAATATCAATTGTCATAAAAAGTAATTGCAGTATAAAACAAGTATCACCATTAAATCAAATACATAATATTTCTAAATAATAATCAGAATCATGAAAATAAAAAAGAAACATACATGTTGAAGGAGATGAAGTTTAATAATCAGAATCATGAAAATAAAAAAGAAACATACATGTTGAAGGAGATGAAGTTTACTATAAAAATTGTGTAATTTCTTGGTTTATATATAGGCATGAACATACATGTTGAAGGAGATGAAGTTTACTATAAAAATTGTGTAATTTCTTGGTTTATATATAGGCATGTGGTATTGCATGTGATAGAATAATAGTCATAATTAGAGTTTTATTAGGATTTGAATTGTATTATTATCAATCCGGGATTTGTTATCAATCGGGGGCTAATAGGATATGTAGGACTAATAGGACCTATTCACAGTCTAGCTAAATAATAATGTAACATGTCCTGACTTTGGAATAAATCTTTATTATATATACAGATTTTGATTGACCTCTAAGCATAAAACACCTTAAACATTTTCCCTTCTCCGTATTATTTGGGAACAAATAAAACAAAGTTCACATAAATTTCTTTTAAAACTAATAAGGCAAAATAATTATATTTAACTAAATATCTTACTGAAGAACAAATTTTTGATAAGAAAATAAACTAAAAATACTTAATTTTATTATTTAACCACGCGTGTTGCACGTGTTTAAACCTAGTATATGATAAATGCACAAGTGTACATGCTATATCCTATATTTATGGCTAATATAACCCTATTGTGATCTGGGAAACTCAAGATTTCCCTTTGAAAGTTCATGACCATCATGACCCAATTTTAATCTGCATGACTCGAGATTTCTATTAAAAAGCCCATGCCCTTGATTTCGTTCTCGCTTATGAATATTGTTGTTATAGTTGCAATTCTACTCACCATCTATTATCATTGCACACTTTGACAGTGCTTTTTGGGGTTCATAAAGGCGCATATGAAAATTTATGTTTGCAATGCTCATTAGCATAAAGACCCATCTTTCATATAAAATAA